AAATTTTACACACAGAGTAAGGTCATTGCCTTATTCTTCGATCTTATAATAAAGCGTGCAATCAACCTTGCTTAATAGAGTGCAACAGACAATTGAAATCAAGTAGGACATAGACGACACCAACAACAACAATAGCAGCAGCAGCAACAGCAAAGACACATTACAGGTTTGATTGGATAGAGCCTTGCAGGAACTACAGGAGACACTAATCATTGTGGGAGACCACCCATTCTTCTGGCACACCTGATACATTCGTCTAATATTGTTTTGGTGTCATATTTATACTCAAAACCCTTCTTTATGAGCTTTGTGAAGTCCCAGTTAACTTCTCTATTTGGTCCATCCAAATATCTGAATTAAGAAATTGGAAACCCTCAGGAGCCTTATCTGATTCTATCAAGGATCACAAATAAATTCACGAGAAAATTTAACCAAAATAATAGACGGGGCCTCAGATTCTTAATAAAAGGATTCAACTGCTTACCCTTGTTTCACTTGATACTATGGATAGTTCTTTTGAAAGTAGTTGGAAATATCAGCTGTTGAAACGTATCCGCTTGGACAAAAGAATCTACCACTAATTGAAGGATTCCCCATGCAGAATATATGAGCTTCGCATGCATCATCAACATGTACAACTGGGATAATTCCAAGAAAATCCTCCACAAACTTCAGGGCATTATAAGCTTCTTTCCAGTCTGTAAGCTGTGAAATGCATACCCACATGTTTCCAGGGGCATGATTTAGAATGGTCTCTCCACCAGGAAGTCCACAACAAGTCAGTGTAACCACATCCAATTTGCCATCATAGCTCAAGATTTCCTTCTCTACTGAAGTCTTTGAATTTACGTGATCCTACAATATTTGCATTACATAATGGTTAAAATTAAATCTAGGTATTCCACGGTTTCACTTTTTATCACTACCATTCACTCTCAAAGAACGAAGAGGAAACTCATATCATGTTAAGAAACAAAGACGATGACTGGCAGATATCCAAAAAATAGGGGAAGGACTATTTTGACAGATTAAAACAAACAAAAATTAAGTGCATTTCAATTTAAACAAAATTTCCTCTTCGTTTCGATGCATAGTTCCAAGTTGTCTCTTCACGCCCTCTGGTAATCTCTGTATGTAATAACAATCCGAGTGAGGAGTGAGGTCTATAAACTATTGGTTGAATACTCACAAGGGTGTTGAAGGAACTCCTTGACAAGGAAAATGGAGAAAAACAAAAAGAAACACACAAGGAATATGTGGATGGTAAAAAAAACACCAGGAAGGGAAGCTCAGAAGGTTATACCTTGTAAATATCATCAGGAAAAGGAAACGAAAGGTTAGGAGGTGTCCAACAAGTTTCATCCACAAAATCCTTGAAACCACTCCCGTCAATCTTCACAGGGTATGCGGCACTTAAAGAGGAAGTGTATATTAGGCGTTTCACTGTACCTGATTGAATACAAGAAGTTGCAGTGCTTTTTACCGCTGCTAACGCAGCGTCAGTTATGTTTTTGAACTGATAATAGTTCAAAATAATAATATAAGGTTAGGATAGTCATGGAAAAGCTACTTGCATGATGTTTAAACAGAGCAATCCAAAGTGAAAGACCTGAGAGTTCTGAATGTGGCGCTTGGGAGTTACAAGATGCAAAACAGTCTCACACCCTTTGATTGCATGATCAAAGTCATCAGGATTATATATTTCAGCCTGGAACAACACTAATCTTGTGTCGGCATAAGGAAGGCTCTTTAAGAAGCGTACTTTAGATGCATCACCTGCAATTGGGTAACAATTTCCAAACATTCATAGAGAGATAACCGAAGAAGGAAGAAGGGAAAGGGAGAGAGATATGCTCAAATTCCTCGTTGTTGCGTGGACAGTGTATCCTTTCTCTAACAGCATCTTGACAAGCAAAGAGCCAACATAACCTGTACCTCCGGTAACACATACCTTGCACTAGAGGAAATTAATTTATTTAAATACACCAATTTAATATGAGAATGTACCCTTAAAGTCATCAATCTAGGAAGGAAATAGTTTCAAAATACGTAAAAATTGACACAAAAACACCTTGATTGTAAATTAAAAAATGTCTCTAAATTCGTTTAATCTTACAAAATATTTCTCAATCCCTTTGAGACAACGAAATTATTAAATTACCAATGAAAAATCATAGAAATGAATTCAAAGTTTCACTAAGAATATTTTAATAATTATATAGTATGAAATATACATTTTAAAAGAGAAAGGAAATTAATATTGAGAAGTAGAATGTCTAAAAAAGAAATGGAGAGAGTTTAACCGTCTAAATAAAAATTAGTAAGGGAAAGGGAAGGAAAAGAAATGATTGATATTAACTTAATTTGAGTAAACAAAAGTCGAGGAGAAAGAATAATAATATTTTTATTTAATTAAATAATTTAAAATAAAATAAAATAAAATACTTTAAATTTATTAATTAAAAATGATTAAAATAAAATATTTTTATATATTTACTTTTAAAATTTTTTAAAAAAATTGTTAAATATATAAATCAAATCTCTTATAATCCATTTAATTTGAAGGAATGAGAAAGAGAGGAGTAGAGAGGACTCCACCACCCCTCTGTCTCCCTCCCTCTCCATTAACGAAGAAAAACAAACACACTAAAAGAGAGATCTGCCCCTCCTTGTCCCTCCAAATCCACCAGTCCAAAGAGAGGCTAAAGGGAGCATTGAAAAATGCTTGAAAAGAAGAAAGCAAATAGAAGTAGCAACATCTTGACTCGGCATCTGCAACGACCGCTTCTCCCGATTATGTAGGTAAGCTGCAAGATCATGGTTTTCCGGTTAATATGTACCACACTTTTAACCGGAAACTTTTCAGCCTCCGGCGGCATGACCCAGGATGCCAGAGTAGAAACCAAGGGTGATTTACTCAGGAAGTTAAGTTGGGCATTTGGGCTTATTGTTGGGTTTGTAATCTACTGGGCTCGTGTACCCAATTCAATCTTAAATTTTTCGAATTAGATCTGGGCCACTAATTTAAACTTTTT